CCAGCGCCTCACGACCCCCGAGCCCTTTCCTCCCAGGACCCCACTCCCGCCGTGCGTGCGGCCGGCCTCGCATCGCACGGTGTTAATGCTGGCGAGCGGCGCCCGGGTCGCCAGGCTGTCTCCTGGTAACAGGCTTCTTTTTAACGTAGTATCAGCAGATACGTTTTAAAAGTAGGATAGATGGTTCTTTTAAGAGGGTTTTATCATCAGTGTCTCTGGTATTCAAGTGAAATAAATTAAGTTAATGGGAAGCTCTTTTATAGCTTGTCATGGAAAAAGTACATAATTTCTGTCACAATTTGCATGTACGGAGCCGAAAGAACAAACGATTAACAGCATTTATTCTGTCATGTTCTCATAAAGCTCCAGCTAATAGGGCAGAGCCCATTGAGTCTGACGCGCGCTGGCAGTGGCCGAGACGGACAGACTTCCGGCGTGCGCTGGGGGCCGCGAGGCGGGCGCCGGCCCCGCGGGGGCCTAGGAAGTGGTGCAGGCCGGGTGGCCGCTGGGCCGCCGGCCCTCACTCCTGCTCGCTGACTCGGGAGCCCCGAAGGAAAGGAGGGCTGGTGGGCAGCCGCCACCTCCTTCTGTTCGAGGCAGGAGGAGAGTCGTTTCTGCGGGGCGGGGCTGAGTGCCCCCCTCCCCACCGTGGTCCTGGTGGTTCACCAGCAGCTCGGTTTTCCGCTCCCGCCGGCCTCCCTGGTGTGCTGGACACTGTGTTCACGTCTCACAAGTGCCCACCTTTGCAGAGGGATGGATATACTTTTTAAGATTTTACTTATTCTAGAGAGGGGGAAGGGAGGGAGAAAGGAGGAGAGAAATGTCAATCAGTTGCGTCTCCTGTGCGCCCGACCAGCTGGTGGCTGAGCCCCCACCCCAGGCAGTGGGCCCTGGCTGGGAATCGAACCGGCGACCTTTCACCTGGTGAGCCATGCTGGTCAAGGCCAGAAGGGGTATGGACCTGCCACCTTGGCTGTCTCCAGTGCTCCCTTAAGGGGGTGGATATTGGTCACGCCGTTACCCACTTACTTACATTCCCGTTTGGCATGGAGGTCTGAGTGCAGACGACCCCCCGGCTTCAGGCCTGCACCGTGGGGGCCGGCCGCCGCAGGGCGGTTTGGTTGGAACGGCACAGGAACGCTGTCCCCTTCCGGTGAGGGACATGTGCGCTCCGATGCCACCGAGTCCCGGTCCGTACCAGAACTCAAGGCTGGGTTTGTGTGAAGCTGCTTTCTCTCTTAACCGCAGCTTCTCTTGAGCGGGGCGCCCCTCCTTGAGCCGGGTCACCAGGGCAGTCCCCTCCTGCAGGGCCCCCACCCCGGGCGGCGGGGCGATGAGGAGCGACAGCGCTCGGGCCCTCCGGCCCAGGCCCCAGGCTCTCAAAGGCTGGCCGGCGGCCCACGGGGCTTTGTGTGTGCGTTGTGTCCGCACCGCCGCACTGCAAACGAAACGGAGACGTTTAAAGAGTATTAACTCGTGTGTAACCACGTTAATAAATCAGTTCCATCCGAGACGTGGCGAGGAGACTGGTGCCATTGAGCACACGCTGCAGACCTCCCCAGCGCCCGGCTCGCTGGAGGCCGCCCGCGCGTGGCGAGGTGTCCCGTCCCGGTGACGGACGGCCGAGCGGGAGGGGAGCCGCACGCCCCGCAGAGCGCAGTCGGAGCCGGGGCGAGCACCTCGGCAGCCTTGTCGGATGACCGCGGGCGTGGTTCGCGGACGCCTCGGCGGCACTGGGTGAGGGCGCTTCCGAGGCTCGGCGCGGTGTCGGGCCGGAGGCCGCGTCCGGGAGCTGCTGGAACTCGGCTCTCTAACAACGTGCACTGCTCTCCCGCACTTTCGGCTGGGCTGTGTAACACCGTGTTAGCTGAACTACACAGGTCGCCTGGTGTTGACGCATGTCGTCACGTGACAAGAAAGTCACACCCGCCACCATTTCCACTGGCCTCCCTGGAAGGGTGGTTAGGTGCCGGGGAAGCCGGGAAGCTCTTGGAGGCCGGAGCACGTTTCCGAGCTTGCCTGGCAGCCTGGGCTGTATCGCCGGCCCCAGCGACCGTGCGTTTCCTCGCGTGGAGGGACTCGCGGCACTCGTGCCCGAGCACGCACCTGCCCAGGCCCGGGCCCGAGTCGCGTGGCTCTCAAGTCCAAGAGGCAGCCGCCCAGGGGTCCCCCGGACGGCGCCCGGCTCTCTGGGCGGAGGGTGACGGTGTGCCGCCAGGCGTGGTCAGGGCGTGGCGTTGTGTCACAGCTCCGCCGGGGCTGTTCCCGAGGGGAAGCGGCCTTTTTGGAGGAGCCACACGTGTGTGGCCGCGCCCGATACGAGGACGCCGGCCCCACAGGCGCTCGCCGTCTGCTCCCTGCTCGCCGTTCACCCAGCGCTTTTGTGCCGGCACTGCGGGGTGTCGGCACAGATGAAAAGGCTCGTAACTCCTTGGTGTTTTCATGAGTGCAGTTTTGACTTCATGGGCCTCCCAGTGGGGGGGCCCTGAGGGTCTGCGGATGACTTTGGCTGCCAGACCCTGTGGTGCGGAGGTCCGACTCTGGAGGCAGAGCCAGGTGGAGCGCCGGCGGGCCTGGCCATTGATACGCCGGCGTGGGCCCCGAGTGCGGGCGCACAGCCTCCCTGAGCCCTGGTCTGCTCGTCCAGAAGATGCGGGCACGGGCTGCCTCGCCGGAGCGCTGAGAGCACTCGATGGGACGGCTGCGAAATAGGCCCGGTGTGGGTGGGGCCTCGCGTGTGGCGGGCACTGGTGAGGGTGCCCTCCTCCCCTCCTCGGCACGGCGGTCTGGCCGGGCAGAGGCCTCTTGGCTGTTCTCTCCCACCTGCACGGCCCGGAGGAAGGGGGCAGAGCTTCCCGGGCTGTGCAGTGGGGGGGCCTGAGGTCCTCTGGACCCAGCAGTTCTGTGTTTGGCCAGTGTGGTCGGGCTAAAGAGCCAGCGTCTCTGAAAGTGAGCGGCGCTGCCTCGTTGCTCTCGTCTTCCGGGCGGCGGCCCCCACGAGTAACCCTGGTCCGCCCGGGCGCTCTCCGGACAAGAGGGCAGGGCCTCCGCGTGGCCAGGCCAGGAAGGGGCGGTTTCTGCTGCAGGGGCCGCTCCCTGCTGAGCGTGGAGTGTCTGTGGGACAGTTTGCTTGTTTCCCACCCACGAAAGTGCTGGAGTGTGATGTCGTCGCAGACAGGCAAAAACCTGAAATTCTCAAACCCAGCTCACTCTAAGTTTTAAAAAATGAACATCGGTGTGACCATGGTTTGAAGACTGTGTGTGACCCGCCTGCAAACGAAGTTGACATTTCCTGTCCAAGAAAGACCCCGTCGACCCCCGAGGTGGTCATGTGTCATCTTCCCTGCCCCCTGGAGGTGGAGGGCCACTGGGGAGGTAGCTTCCAGACGAGCGCTTGGTTTTGACCTGCTGCCGGGCCGCCGGGTCCCAGGTCTGCCTGGAAGAGCTCTTGCCAGCTCACGGGAGCCGGGCCCTGAGCTGCCAGTGGGGACCGCTTTCCCCAGGGGTGGGGGGTGGGGGGGTCGCCGCTGCGCCTGCCCCGTTTGCAGTGGCCTTCGCTCCCTCTGCGGGTGGTCGCCCTGCGGGCCTCAGGTTCTTGGGTGAACACCCTCATTTCAGTGATCTTTGTTGGTAGCTAGACGTGGTGCCATGTGTGTACGAGCCCCAAGGTTTGAAAGGGCTGCACATCCACGGACTTCTGTCCTGAAGCCTCCTGGCACAGCCCCTGTAGCCCGGAGCATGCCATGGGGTGTGGGCCGCAGAGCTGCCCGGCTGCCCGTGCGCACTGTGCACCGCTGCGTCGTCGGGGTCTGCCAGGCCCCTCTGTCCCCGAGATAGAAAGGGTGCCTGCACCCCCGGAGGGGTGGAGGGTCTTTGTGTTTCTGCTCTCCATCATACGGGTTCTGTAAGGTGTGTGGGCCCGGGGTGCAGGGGGAACCCGTGTCCAGCTGAGAGACCCTTGTGGCAGAGGGGAGCTGGGCTGCACTTGGCTCTTTGTCGACCCCGTGGCCTTGAGCGCGTCAGCGCACATCGCTGGGCTCCCGCGTCTCCCTGTCTCCCTCCGTGCATCTCCCTCCGTGCGTCTCCCTCCGTGTGCCGTCCCCCGGCGCGGCCCCTCACCTGCTGCGGGGCCGCACGGCTGGTCCCGAGGCCTTGGAATAAGGAGCGGGGAAGCCCTGAGGTGGGGTTCGCGGGGAAGAGAGCCCTGCTGAGCACCCAGAGAAGGGGTGTGGACACCCCTCCGGGGGAGGGGGCAGGGCTCCGCCCTCCAGGCAGACCATGCACACCGGGCGCGCTCTCCTCCGCAGGTGACCTCTCTGTGCTTCAGCTGTGTCGTCTGAGAGCAGGCGGCGGCCCGAAGCACGGAGCCTGGTCACCGGCAGTGGGGGAGGCCCCGCCCATGTGAGCCCCTGGCCCGGGCGCCTTTCCCACGTGCGAACGCGCTGTGTTTCGGAGACTTTACCTAGATGCGTGGCTAGGCAGAGCCTTGTAGCAAGTGCCATGTTTTAAGGTAACCGTCGGCATACGAGCAGGGGTATGTGTGCTAAGGGAGCTGGTCGGAGCATGGGGTGCGGCCCTCCGGGGGAGCCTTGGGGCGAGGTGCCCCGGGCGCAGCGGACGCAGTTCCTCACGCGCCTCGGGTTGGTCTACGGAGTTCATAACCACCTTGGACTTGGGCACGGAGCAGAGCAGGCCTGTGGCGTGTCCGCCTGGCTCCCCTCTCCGTGAGGGCTGCGTGGTCGGTGGGCCGGGATTCAGGAGACCTAGGCCCCATCCCGCCACCTCCTGCTTCGGACCTCGGGCGAGTCACCCAGCTGAGCAGGGCTGGGGCTTGGGACCTGAGCGGCGGGGAAGGTGCTGGTCCCCGTGCCCGCGCACTCCCCTGGGGCCCGCCGGGCTCCGGGGACGGGGTAAATTGCTGTACGGCCAACATGCAAGTGTTGACAACTGGCTGCTGCTAACCAAGTCTGACGCTCCTAATGAACTATTTTCTTTCTCAGTGATGTTACAGCCTTTCGATTATGATCCCAATGAGAAAAGTAAACACAAGTTTATGGTTCAGTCTATGTTTGCGCCAACTGACACTTCTGATATGGAAGCAGTAGTAAGTACGGAACGCTTCTTTCTTTCTCCGTGGTTCCCCTTAGGTGCGGAATTGTGGGTGCATGCGCTCCAGTGTGTCGGGCCTGCTTTCGGGGGGGCGGGGCTCCCGGGGCGGGGCTGCACTTTGACTGTCTTTATGGTTTTTCTAAAAATTTTGATTTTAACATTTTATGTAACTTCCCAGAATACTATTCTTTTCTGACTTTTCTACCTCAGTTTCCCCTAGCACTTCCTTGTCCTGATGGGCTATGTCTTGAATGGTTTGCGGGTTCTCTCCCTTTTCCCCACCCTGGGCCCCACAGAAAAGGGTCCCCACCCGGTACCAGAGTCCAGAGGGGTGAGAGTTCAAAACTTAGTGCCCTCGGCCCATGCTTGATTTATTTATGTGTTTGTTTATTTTTTGCTTGGGTCTGGTAAGCATGATTCTTTTTTTTTTTTTTTTTTTTAGATTTCCATTTTTTTCTGCTTAAATGCATGTTTAATTTTGTTAAAAATAAGATGACTTCATTTTCATAAAATAAATAAATGGCACCCTGTTACTGATTTTTCTGGAGGAAGGAGCATGATTGGAACTCCAGGGCCAGCTCGAGCGTCGCACGTTGGAGTGGAGGAGGAGGCGCTCCCAGCTGGGAGGGGAAGGCGGGGCCGCCGGCGTGTCCCGCCACTTCCTGCCCGCCAGCCCCCGCCAGGGGCCCGGCCAGCGTCCCAGGGGAGGGCCCACTCTCGCGGGCTGGGACTCGCACCCGCCCTCCGTGAGTTCGGTACCGAGGCCTGCCCCGCGCACCGCTGCGGTGCCCGGCTTCAGCACGCAGCCCTTCCCGCTCGTCTGGGGAGAGGAGGCCGGCCGTCTCCGTGCCCGCGCCGTGGGGTGCCGGGCAGTGCCCGCGGGACGCGCCCCTGGTGGGGCTCCCAGAGGGGCTGGTGGCGGGGCGCCCTCTTCCTCTTCACGGGAGCGTGGCTGGGGCCCTCACCGCTCCCCGTGCGCATCCTCGGCCGGGGAGCCCTTCCAGGTGGGCCGGGGCGATCGAGGGGAGCAGGGCGCGCAGGAGGCGCAGACGGCCTGCGGCCACGGCGTGCCGGCTGGTGCTACATGGCTCGTGGCGCGGGGCGCGGGCGCGGGTGTCTGGGGCACGGAGGTCGGCCTTCGCTGGCGCTGCGGCCCCGGGCAGCTCCTGCGGGCCGGCCAGGTGGGCGCGCGGGTGCTGTGGAGGTGCTGTGTGTGGCGCCGCCGGCGGTCTGCGGGGGAGGGGACGCCCGCCCCCGAGTGCTCGCCGTTGCCGCCGTCTGAGAGGCATTGTGCGAAGGACGCCGCGTGAGGTGTTTGGACGTACCGAAGTGAAGAGTGCCCTGTAGGTTGTTCACCCTTGACCTACCCACTGTTGACAAGGAGAGCCTCGTGCTTCTTCATGTCAAAGCATTAATCTCCTTTGGATGTACAGAAAAAATGGCAAAGGAACCACTCACGTTACCTTCACCGAGACTCACCGTCCGGCATGTTGCCACACCCACTCCATTTTTGTCACGCGGCCTCTCCCCCACCGAGTGTGGGGCGCACGCTGTGCCCCCCGCGTGCCGCAGGGCGGGCCGGTCTCGGTCTCCGTGCGGCAGGCGCTGCTAGTGCAGCCCCGGGAGAGACCCGCAGCGCTGCGGTCACGGAGAAACCCACGCTGCCGCGGTTTTCCGTGGGCCCCCGGGTGGTCCAGAGCTCTTGTTCCGGCAGAGCAGCCGCGGCCTCGTCTGTCTCGTTGGCTCTGGAAGCCTCAGCGTCCAGGCTAGGGGCTTGGAGACCCCCGCACTCTGCGTCTGCGCAGTTTCTTCCTCGGGGTTGAACCCGGGCCGAAGGTCGTGCGGCGGGAAGAGCCGCTGGGCGACGGCACGTGTGTGTCGTGTCAGAGGCGTTGAGTGCTGGTGGGCCCTCCCTCTTGGCGACACTGCGCTGGGTCCCTGGGTTGAGGTGGGGACGACCGGCCCTCCCTGGCGTCAGAGCACCTTGGCCCCGGTGGCTCTTCTCAGGGAACCGGCGACGCTCTGAGCGGGCCGGAGGCCTGCGAGCGTCCCGCCGGCCGGCAGCCTTCCTCCCGGTGGCCCCAGCGTCCGTCCGGGCACAGCCCTTGCCCGGTGCCCTGACACGCGCGTGCGCACAGGCACGCAGACTCAGAAGCGCGTTGGCAGCGTCCCCGCTGACTGCTGCTGGGACGTGGCGCGCTGTCCCGCTGGGGTCGCCGGGGCTTCTCGGGCGGCCCCTGTCAGGCACCCACTCGTTTCCCACTTTCGGCCCCCGGTGCCTGTGTTGCTCTCTCTGGCTGCCTCCCACATGGCCCTGGGCAGCGGCAGGGGCTGTCCCTTCTCCCTGCGGTAACCTCCCTGCCGTGCCAGTCGGCCTGCAGTTGTCAGGACACCCGAAGTCCACCGTCCGCTTCCAGAGGAGGGGAGCTGTCCACACGGACAGAACGTGGCGGGGGGGTGCACCATGGAGAGGCGCGTGCTGGCCAGCAGGCCCTGCCGGGCGCTGGCGGAGCGGCTCCGGAACCCCTCCCAGACGGGATGCGCCTCCTCGGGGCGGGGCGGGGCGGGGAGTGCCTGCGGAGCAGGTCTGTCTTCTTCTGAAGAGCCAGGGTCAGCGCTGGCCCCCCGACGCCCGCAGTGGGCCCCCCGCCCCACATCTGCCTGCGGACAGGCAGCGGGCGGGGCGCTGGCTGGCTTCCGGGGGTCAGGCGGCACGGCCGGGGTCTGCGGTGTGCACTGAATATCAGGAGAGTGAGTGTATTTAATCTTGTCCTGTCGGAGATGCTGGAATCTCAGCAGACCTGGTTCTTTATTTGACATACATCAGGACTTTCTCATTAAGAGTGTTTTTCTGAAATTGTCAGTTATAGGAAGAAAATTATTCTTCCAGCAGCTTTATAATATCCTGATTATTAAATTTAAATTGTTTTAGTGGAAGGAGGCAAAACCGGAAGACCTTATGGATTCAAAACTTAGATGTGTGTTTGAATTGCCAGCAGAAAACGATAAACCAGTAAGTATGTTTACAGTTAACAGTAATTGAATGTTGCAAGCTGATACTTATTTGCATACCATCTCCTGCAAAACCAAGATTTAAGTTGGCAAATTATTTTCCTCTTTCTGATGTATGAAGGGGAAAAAAGCTGAAGTCGACAAATAAGTGGGCCCGCATGAAATCAGTCTTTGAAAGACTTGTACAGAAAGACAACTAATTGAAACAATTTTTCCCCTTGCAAAGTGCAGCCTGTTGGCTGTTGAAATGTTACGAAGCCCAAAGAGTGTCTGGGACCAGGCAGAGTTACCAGCCACCGTTCAGTCGGGGTAAGATGCAGGCGGGGAGTGGTCTGCCATCTGCCGAGAGGCTGACGGGACGGGCGGTGAACACGGAGGGTTCACCGCTGTACGGAGTCCTGCCTGCGGGTGCCCAGCCCACTCGGCCCCTGGGCACCACCTCTGCACCCCCGAGCGCACTCCCTCCCCGGCACCCCTTCTCGGGGAGGGCTTCTCGGCCGCACAGTGCGGCCGCTGGGGCCCCGCGCTCGGTCGTGGGGCTGGCCTGGGTCTCCTCGGACGCTTGGCTTCTGCCCACCAGGTACTGGCAGCACCCCTAGGTGTGGTGGCCGTAGATGCCTCCTGACACTGCCGTGTGTGCCCCGAGGGGCACGGTCGCCCCCACTGAGAGTCTCCTGGGCTGCCGGAGGGGTGAGGAGGGGGGAGTCGCTGGAGCAGCTTCCTCTGGGCCCTCCCCCCTTCTCCCTTTGTGTACAGCCTAGGGGCAGAACACTGAAGTGCTGGTACGGACTCCCTTCAGACCAGTCCGAGAACTTTCAGGTGCATTAAAAACACAATTGGAAGTCTCAGCAGAGTGTCAGGTGCTCTTGGCTGTTCCTGGCTGGCCTCAGGTGACGGAAGTGCTCTGAGATCATTGCCCTGGAAGACACATTGCCACATTTGTAGGAGCGCTTTGCCACATTGCCACATTTGCAAACATTGCCACATTTGTGGGAGCGCTTTGGGCCTGTGGCCCACGCTCCCTGCCCGGGCGTCAGCGCGCCTTGTTGCGCTGGGCCTCTGCATTGGGCAGTGTGTCGTGTGAGGGGCGGCCTTGGACGCTGTGGGACTGTGTTCTGGTCCTTGCTCTGTGCTGCGTCAGTTTTGCAGACGGGACCTCACACCCCCAGCAGCCACCTGGACACTCAAGGTGGGCACTCGGTGAGTGGTTCCCAGGTACTGTGTCACCCCAGCACAGCCGAGCCTCCACGCCCACCCTTCCCCGCCTCACTGACACCCCCCCCAGCCTCAAAACGGCGCCTCACGCAGGAGGCGAGGGGGGCATGTGTGCCCCCGCAGACCGAAACCCTGCGGCACTGGCACTGCCCCTGCCCCGCCCCCCAGCTTCCCGGCACCGTGTTCATGCAGGGAGCCACCCTCCGGGCCGTCTGTGGCCTCCCGTCCCTGCCCAGCTGGTCCTGGGGACGTTCATGTCTTCACGGTGACCGTGATTGTGGTCCATGACCCCTGCGCCTGCACAGGCACCGTGTGCTGATTTCTGCACGGCAGGAACCCGCCAGCACAGCACACGGAGCCCGGTTCTCTGTCCTGGGAGTGCCGGTCCCGGCCGAACTTGGTTGTGTGCCCCGTGCGTGAGTTCTGGGGTCAGCCGCGCTGGGTCGTCACGATACCAGATGGAGGGGTCTGCCTCAGAGGTCAGTGCGGGGCCGTGCGGTGCCCGGGAGACGCTGCCCGCGCGCTGTGGCTGAGCTCCGCCTTACTGTGTGTGAGAAGCCCTTCAGTACGTAGTCGGTGACACGTGGGCTTTCGTTTGTGTTTCTGAACAGCATGATGTAGAAATAAATAAAATTATATCCACAACTGCACCAAAGACAGAAACACCAGTGGCGTCCAAATCGCTGAGCTCTTCCTTGGACGATGCCGAAGTCAAGAGGCTGATGGACGAGTGCAAGCGGCTGCAGGGCGAGGTGCAGCGGCTGCGGGAGGAGAACCGGCAGTTCAAGGTAACGGCCTCTCCTTCCCCGCGGGTCCCCAGGGAGTGGGGCCGCCTCGCTAGGGTCTGGGGGGCGGCTGTGGCTGGCGTGGCTCGGTGGGCTGAACGCCGGCCTGCGAGCCGAAGGGCCACCTGTTCATTCCCGGTCAGGCCACGCGCCTGGGCTGTGGGCCAAGCTCCGCAGTAGGAGGGGGCGCGCGAGGCAACCACACATCGGTGTCTCTCTCCCTCTCTTTCTCCCTCCCATGCCCTCTCTCTCAAAATAAACAAACAACATCTTAAAAAGATCTGGGATAGGGAAGTTGATGAACCCCTGAATTTGTAGAGTTTGTGTTTGCACATTTTTCTCCCAGGAAGAAGTTCCGTAGCTTTCATTCGGTTCTCAGAGTCCTGGAACACCACCTCCCCTCCCCCCATCAAGAACCCGAAGTTTCTCAACTATTTAAACTCTTATCCCCTTGTTAAAAAAACAAAAATACACACAAAAAAGCCCTCCCGCCCTCCATTTGTGTAAATTGAAAGTAAGATTCGAGACCAAAATTAAAACAGTGATGGTTGTTGGCATTCCCATTTTCAAACCCCACCCCGTCCCCACTGGGTGAGGTTCTCTCTCTGAGGGGCCGGTTCTGACCTCTGGTCCACTTGAACGCAGGTGCAGGGCTGACTTTGGACGATGCTGGTGGGTCTGAGCCAAAGGCCCTCGTCACACCGCGGCCCCTCCGTGGAGCTTGGAGGTGGGGAGTTGTCAGAGCAGCCAGGCGGCCGGGGAAGGAGGAGCGGGGCCAGGCAGCGTGGGGGGTGGCGGGAGGCCTGTGCAGCGTGGGAACGGCCGGTGGGACCCGAGCCAGCCGGAGCCTCGCGGTCACGGCGTCCCCGGAGCACCGGTCACCAGACGCCTCTACGGCTCCTTCAGCTCCGAGAGTGAGTCGTTTCAGACTTGGTCTTGAGGAGAGCGTTTCTTTTTTTTTCTTTTTTAAAAATTTTGCTTATTTATTTTTAGAGAGGGAAGGGAGGGAGAGAGAGAGAGAAACATCAATGTGCAGTTGCTGGGGGTCATGGCCTGCAACCCAGGCATCTGCCCTGACTGGGAATCGAACCTGCGACACTTTGGTTCGCAGCCCACGCTCAGTCCGCTGAGCTGCGCCAGCCAGGGCCGAGGAGAGCGTTTCTCATCTCTGACCACAGGGACTTCGTTGCAGCTGAAATTTCGAGAGGGGTCTACCCCCCACCCTGGTCACGCCCCCCACGCACGTAGCAGTGTGTTGGGTTTCGTTCTTGAACCCGCAGCCCCAGGCGCTCGGCGCACACGCAGCTCCACTGGCCGGCCCTCCCCTCCCTCGGACGGACGCGGCCCCCAGCCCCTCCTCTACAGAAGCCTTCACCCCCTCACTCAGTGACAGCGTCCGGGGGAAGGTCACCGTGCTGACACTTCACTTTTCGGCTGAGAGTCTAAGATGTGCCTAAAGCCTCTTCTTGAGTGCATTTCTCTTCAGAACAGTTCTGTGCCATCTAAAGTGATGAATGGGTAGAAACAGCTTCTACACAAACCCAGTAAAATAGACGCTGTACTCGGCTGTGCCCATTTTTGTTTTTGAAGGGACTGGACTATCACTGGTCATTTGTCACCAGGCAGTGATACTGGCCATGCCCACAAGCAGGAACCTTGAAAATACTCCCAGACCATTCTTGACATTAGAAGATTCTTTCTCCTGCCAGACACTGATTTTCTGTTTTGTGGTTTTTCATTCTTTTACTTGGTCAACACATTTCCCGAGGCCCTGCCATGTGCCTGGCACAGACGGGGGCAGTCCTGGCCTGCAGGGGCGCCCTGCTAGCACTGGGGCCGCGCGGGGCACAGACCGCGCACGGCCTCAGACGGCAGCCGCGGCAGGGAGCCGGCCCCCGGGCCTGGGTCCACGCGGTGCACTGGCTGCTGGTCGTCTCCAGGGCCTGCCAGGCCCCTGCTGCTGGGCGGGAGGGGATGGAAGGGGGAGAGGAGAGGAGAGGGCGGTCGGGGTGTGGGTCCGGAGGAGCAGTGGCCTCGGGAGCCCGCGGTGCGCCTGACGCACCGGAGCGCGGGGCCAGCCGCGCAGTGGGGCCGGAGGGCGGCCCGCTCCTTGCACGTCTGCAGAGCTGGGGGGCCGTGCCGAGTGTCTGTGCACGTGCACGGTGCCTCTTTGGGAGATCCGTGCGCTGTGCAGAGAATGTTTGAGATGCACGTATCACGTTTAGTCACGTTTCCGTGTTCCAGAAGTCCCGTTACGTGGACAGGGAAAATCCAGCCAGCTGTAGGGCCGGCTGTGGGCGCAGCGGAACAGCCGGGACGAGGCCAGAAAGGTGGGCGGGCCGTGGGCGGGCCCAGGCCGGACCCTCTTCAGAGCCCTGGTCTCTGAGCAGAGGGGGCGGAGGAGCGCCCCGCCTGGGTCCAGGCTGTGGGAAGGCGACTGGCGGCAGCGCCCAGGGGGGACCCTGATGGCAGTGCCCGGGGGGACCGGAGAGGAGAGGGGCGGTGTCTCGTAGCGGCCTCCGGCCGGCCCCCCGTGGGCTTCCCCGTGAGGAGGGGACCACACCACGGCGGGGGGGAGGGGGTGGTCCGAGTCGGGGTGCGAGCCCTCCGTGCTCGGCCGTACGCGTGACTCCCGCCTCCAGTGCGCGGGCGTCCTGAAACGTGCCTTTGCTCCCGCAGGAGGAAGACGGGCTCCGGAAGAGGAAGACGGCGCAGAGCAACAGCCCGGGCCCCGCGCCCGCCGCGCCGGGCAAGGAGGAGGGCCTCAGCACCCGGCTGCTCGCGCTGGTGGTCCTGTTCTTCATCGTCGGGGTCATCATAGGGAAGATCGCCTTGTAGAGGCGGCGGGCGCGGGAGGTGGACGGGAGCGGTGGGCCCGCCATGCCCGGGATTGAAACTCGCCACAACCGTGTATAAAAAGAAATTAATGTATGATGACATCTCACAGGTCTTGCCTTTAAATTACCCCTCCCTGCGCGCGCGTGCACACACACAAATGTAACATAATGTAACGATCTCCTAGAAAGTAAAAAATGTATAGTCCGTGATTGGGGAAGAGAATGACCTTTGTTAATGATGAGGGAAACCATGATTAAACGACAATAATGGCATGTTGTAAATGTCATTTTAAACATTTGTAGGCTTGGTCCACGTTGCTGGATTACCTCTCTGAACACACGACACTGTTGCCCGGCGGCGCCGGCCCTCGGGGGGCGGAGCCCAGCGTGGGGGCGGTGCGTCCCCTCCACAGCCACCCCGCTGGCCGCTCGCACTCCCCAGGATGCTGGTCCGCGGGCCGCCCGGGCCCTCGGCTCCCGGGGCTGGTGTTCAGAGCCGGGGCCGAGAAGCCCTGAGCTGCGGCGGCGGCAGTAGCGCCAGACGGGCTTGCTGGGCGGGGGGCGGGGGCGCGAGTGGGCACGGGCGGCCCAGCACTTGGGAAAGGAAAGTCAGTGCTTCGTTCTCTTCAAGGGACCAAGCTGAGTTACTGTTGGTCCATGTAGTGGGATTGAGCTGTTATTCAGAGACATTTAACGCATATTTAACTTATTTAATGTATTTCATCTCATGTTTTCTTATTGTCACAAGATTATAACGAATGCTGCAGCCCGAGACCAGCCGTGCCCCCTGAGGCTGCTGGCCGGAGCCAGCACCGTTGCCGGAGGGCCGGGGGCCCTGCACGTGTGCAGGTGGGCGTGCGGTCCGTTGGAAGGCTGGGGGGCGGCCGCTGGGAGGGATTTCTCTGCACAAACAACTCACAACTGTCACGGGGAGGGAAGTTCCCGGCAGCGACAGTCCCCTCCGCATTGCCCTCTCTCAGGAGAGGGGCGCCAGGCCCCCGCAACCTGCGGCCAGCGCTCCCGCTCCGGCACGCAGCCCGGCCTGGCCCCGGGCTCGTCTCCTGCCGCCGGGCTGGGGGTCGGGACCGGGGAGCGGGCGGGATGCTGAGGCAGGGCGTCAGGAGAAGGAGCCAGTGGTCCAGTGCAGAGGGGTGCGAGAGGGGTCCTTCCGGTGGTCAGTCTGTCCGTCCGTCTGTCACGTGTGATGGGGAGTTGGGCTGTGGGGTCGTGCTGCAAAGACCACTCCACTTCTGTTTGACTGTGTAGCATCTTAAAAAGAAAAAATTAAAATAAAACCCCCAAATTAAGAATTCTTTTGTCGTTCTGTCACATTTGCTGCATGGGAGGATTTGTTGCTGTTACGTTGTCACTGTTTTGTCATCAGAAGGTTGATCTTAAAGTGCGTCCTACTTGTGAGAAAATCTGTCCGGGGTCTGTCCAGAAGTCTTCCAGCCACGTACTGTGAAAAATAGAGACACTTATTGAAGAAGGTACAAGAAACATCGTACGTAGGAGAGTGACGCCTCTGTCCCCTTCAAAGTAGGCCCCTGGGGACCCCACACCGTCCTCCCTCTCACCATCAGCTGCCCCGTCGTGTTTCCCTGAACCTCAATGGCGGTCTGAAATCTCTTCCCTTTCAAAAGTGATTATAGTTTGGGGAAAAGCCAGAAGTTGCAGAGTGTCAAATCTGGGCTGTAGGGGGTCGAGTCTCCTGGGTGATTTGATGTTTCACCAGAAAACTCTGCACGAGACGTGATGCGTGAGCGGGTGTGTTGTCGTGGTGAAGCTGCCCATCGCCAGCTGCCCGTGGCTGCAGCCTCCTGAGTCTGAATAGTTTCCGCAGAAGAACGTTCAAGTTTAATGCAAAATCGGACGCAGGTTCTCTGTGTCACTCGCTCAGTCATTCTGAATGTGGCGACCACACAGTGCACAGGCTCACTCAACAGCTTCTACCGCCCCCACTGACGAGTACAGTGAAGTCGCCATTGTCCACACACGTGCATTCCAGCCCACTCTCCTTGGCCGCCAGGTTACATGGGTGCCGTGCAAACTGTTCTCGTATTAGCAGTGGCTGGACTTTGGACAGACCTTACATGTTTAATTGAACATACATACGTCATCATATATGTAAGGGAACATACAGGGTCTGTCCTCGTGTGCATGTCTATATGCACACACACGCGCGCACACGGGAAGGGGTAGCTTAAACTGAGCGTAAGACGAAACTGCGGAAGATCTTAAGCAGCTGGTCGCCTCCCCGCACCTGGCCCCCGGTGGAGAAGAGCCTGCCCCCTGGGCTAAGGGGTCCCGCGGAGGAGACCGGTGGGAGGTGTGCTGAGCGTGGCTGCCGCAGGCGCGTGGGTTTCAACTTCCACACGAATCAGACTGCTCTCACAAGTCACACACCCTGAGTCACTTTCCCGAGGGCCTGGGGTGGGGGGCGGGCAGGGTGGCCCGAGGTTTTGGCCCCGGCGATCCTGGGACCTCCAGGGAGGCTCGGGGCGGCGGGAGTTGCCAGCTGTTCAGTCGGTAACATCCTGTCTTCACCGTGCATGGTCCCCTCTGCACCCCGAGTTCTTGCCCGAGGGGCCCCCCACTTCTCACTCAGACGGCACTCGGCTCGCAGACGGGGACGGCCGCCCAGGGGTCAGTCCGTCTCCGGCGTGTTCTCCACGTGGGTCCCGGGAGCCGAAGGCATGAGCCGTGAGGCGGCATGTGCCCTCTCCCGTCAGTGTGCTGTGAGCGGACCAGGATTGGCCCAGGTGTGGGCGCTGCAGGTGTGGGCACCGCAGCGGAGCGATGCTGACACAGCCTCTGGGAGCTCCCGGCCTCGGCCTCGGAGGGAGGGATGGGGAGGGAGGGCCTCGCCCAGTCCTGGTCCACCCCCCTTGGCGGGGGCTGCAGGCTGGGAACGAAAGGAGGAACACGCCTGCTGCGTGTTCCGATAAAGCTCCTTCCACCGCAGCCGCCGGCAGGTCCGGCCTGAGGCCGGGGCCTCCCTCCCTCACGTGACCGCCCTTGGAGTGCCCGGGGAGCCTCCTCTGCTTGGCGTTGTGAACGTGACTTAGCATTTCATGGACCCCCAGGAGCAGGTGGGAGTGGGCCTTTTGTTTGCAGCCAGACATTAAAATTTAGAATCCAAAGTCGTCTCTTCTTTTCAACTCGATGTCCTGTAAATAAAGTCTTTCCCTGTTAGAGGTTCGGACTTGGTGAGCACATGGGCTCGTGGGCGTTTTGGCCGAGCGGGGTGAGGGAGCTCCCCGGGGAGGGTCACCCGGGGACCGGGGCCGCGAGGGCTCTTCTCTGAGTCCTCCCGGGCGGTGGGGCGGGCCAGAGCCTGTGGGAAGGGGCTGTGGGAGGAGCCAGCTCCACTGAGGTTCAGGGCGGCTTGCAGAGCCAGAACACTCGAGGGCTGGACCCCAGGGAGGCACACACGTTTTGAGGGTCTTTTCTGGAAGGAGGCGACAAGCGAGAGTAAGGCCAAGAGGGGTATGTGTGGTCCTATCCCCTGGTCCGTTCTCCCCCGAGAGGGCGAGAGATCCTTGGAACGAACCAGCTTACAACAAGGCCGTCACTGGGAAGGGTGCCGGCCGGGAGCCCAGCTGGGCGCTGCAGGCAGGGGGGTCGCCGCTGGCTTTGCAGCACCCCTGAGCGGGGTGCCCCTGATTTAGAAACGCCCGCCACCGGGCTCCTGAGTCCTAAGGGACATACGCAGTAACAGAGAGTCCCATACGTTTTTATTTGATTGCATTTTTAAACAGACAACGGACATTCCCTCGGCACGATGCATCGTAGGCGTGAAGGCCCGTCTTTAATTTTTTTCTCCCCTCGTTTGCATGTTTTCCCTCTTTAATCCTCCTAAACTGCTGGCACCAGCAGTCATAAATACTGATAAAGCCAAAATTGATTTTTACCGGTGGACAGTGGACGCCTAGAGACACGGCTCATACCCCCAGAACAAAAGCGGGTGGGGGTGGGTGGAGCGAGGAACTTCTAGTGATCAGCGAAAACCCGAAGGCTTCCAGACCAGCCCCACGCACGGGTCTGCTGTCGGAAGATACCCGCGCCGGACGCGCGGGCTATGAGCAGCCAGAACTGAATGCGGTGATAGCTCAGGGCTAAATGGCCCTGCAGATTAATTTGAAAATGAGCTCCGTGTGTGTGTGTGTGTGTGTGTGTGCGTGCTCGTGCGCACACGCAGCAGATGGACCGCATGTAAGTAGCTCCCTGTGTTTCCAATGGTGCCTCTATTTTTTTCACACGCTAATCTCCTATTTGCAAACTTGGGAGGCCACGCCAGCACATCATGCCGTTTGTCATTCTCGGTCCCTTCTCCAGAGAGCTGGCCCGTTGACAAGTTTTTGGTTCTGCCGTGTTTGTGACATCCTTGGTTTACAAGGAAAGAAGGAAGGAGAGAAAGGGGACCTAGGCTGCAAAGTCACCTTGAACACGTGAATGACATGGGTGTCCCAGGCCCTGCTTCCCGTGCCAGCGGTTCCAGGTCCCCTCGGCCCCAGGGCGGCCGGCCTCCCCTGCCCCTTCCCGTGGAGCCCCCGTAGCTGGAGGAGGGGCGGGAAGAGCTGAGTGAAATCGTGGAGAGAATACGAGTCACCACTGAAGAGTCCCACCTGCAGGGGGCCTGGGCCCTGTGGCTCTTGCTGCAATGGGGTTGGGTTGCTTCCCCGGAGAGTAGGGGGGTCTCCGGGGCCCGGGCGCAGAGCCAGCCCGGCCCGCAGGGCCTCCGAGTGTCCCACGGGACCCGAGGGCCCGCCCCCTGGCCGCATCTGCTGGCGGCCTTTCCTCTCAAACCCTCCTCGGGCGGAGCTGCCGTGCGTGCGGGGACCTCGTGGGCAGAGTTGCTGTCGCTACACCCTCCCTGCCCTGCGCATTTCCGGGACATTCGCTCATCGGACCTCATCCTCAAGGTGACCGTGGGAGGCTGTGGGAGTCTCTGTGGGAGACCCTCCTTCAGGCGCTGTTTGTTTTTTGGCACAACACACTTCAGACAGTGAAGAGATTCATTTCCCCTTTTCCCACGGCCGATAATCTGTCCTGTGCTCCTGGGGAGCGAGTCTGGGGGTTTGGGAGCAAATGCTCAGTGTGCTGGGCTGCTGGTGTCGGACCGCTCCCCAATCTGGGAGCGAGTCCAGGGGAGCCGGTAAGAGCAGACCCCGACCAGGAGAGTCCCTGGAGAGACAGGCTGGGGAGGCTGGGAAAGAGCGTCTCCGGCCGGATCCCCAAACCCCCCTCCTCGTCCAAGTCCCCCAGGCATCAGCCCTGGCACTCGAGGCCCCCCCGTACCCCCCCCCATGGAGGGACCCAGACCTCCCTTGGAGGACCGTCCTTATCTACACCACTGACAAATAAGCTCTCGTTTTAATTTATTTTCATTACAGAGGTGTTCTGAAAAATTGAGATGACGCAAATGCACACACACACACACACCCACACACACGGCCGTGCACGCTCGTTACAAGCGAAGCCGGTGGAGGTGGGTGAGAGCTTGTCCGGATTAATATAATTACTTCGGATTTTTCCCCTAATGGAACTAATTCATTAGAAAATGTCAGCCTCCGATCGGCAGAGGGAGGGACGAAAGAGCTAGCCACCAAAATACAGCTATTATCTAACTCGCCGTAAATATTGGCAATTACGATACCTTGGAATGCGGCCACAGTATGGATCGCTTTGATTAAAAGATGTCAGTTGAATAAAGCAGAGCGGGGTGGAGGGGGGATAATAGTTTCTGTGGCTAGATAAACGCTCATGTTTATTCTGAAACCCGGAAACATTGATCCTGTGACAATGCCCCATTACCGTTACTTTATTATCCCACGGGCGCCGATGTATATTTAATCATTGGGCTAATGCATGTGGGTGCAGTCCCCCGGCCGGCTCCCCACCCCGCACGCCGGTGTGCATGTCGATGAGCCGCAGGGGCGCCCCCAGCTGCCGCAGGTGGGGCTGCCGCCCCGGAGCTCCCTCCTCAGGGGTCCCCAGCGCCGGGGCTCACGGAAACCGGACAGGTTCCCTCTTCGTTCTCGTTTCTCCTCAGTAAACACCAGCCAGGAGAGACACATCGGTTATCTTAACATGGTGTCATTAAGGCACCACGCTACCAGGGACGCCTCGCCTTGTGCGGTGACACATGAGCACGCGTGTCCCTCGCCCTGGCCTCGGAGGTGTCCCGTGCAGAGCCCAGAGGTCTGGTTCTTTCTACGAACCGTGTGCCTGCCTTCCTGGCTCTCTTTTGGGTTTTGGATGTAAACCAAAGGCAGCGGCTACCCTCTGGGGCACCCTCCATTTAGAACT